ACTTAGCCATAAAGCGGTCTATCTTTCACAATCCTCGAATCTTTCTTGGAGCTTACCTTTTTACCCTCCCCCACCCCCTTTCCCAAATTGTCCCTATCATCTTCTAAAAAAAATTTTTTTTTTTTGAGAGTGCGCAAGGGAGGGGCAGAGGGAGAGGGAGAGAATCTTAAGCAGGCTCCAAGTTTAGTGCACTATCTGACAATGGGGCTGGATCTCACAAAGGTGAGATCATGACCTGAGCCAAAATCAAGAGTCGGATGCTTCACTGACTGAACCACTCAAGCGCCCCTTCAATTGCTTAACTGGTGAAGTTTCTTAGGAACTCAAGTTCTTAAGACAACTCAAGAGTTGTCTACACTTAAGCAAAAATGTTGTGGACTTCAAAGAAAAATAACCCGTGGCTTGTCATTCAGATGAACTACAGCTCCCTTTTCAAATTGTGACTACCTCTTTCAAAAATGGCTTGATGGGGGCTAAATGTATTTGTAAAAGAGCAAGTAAAATAGTCTCTCGCAGGAGTAGTTGTTAGATGCCTTTTTTGTGTACCGTATGTTTATCAAAAACACTGCCTGCACAATTTTAAGACTTTTTTACCTGTTATTAGAGATAGAAGACATAAAATGACCCTGTCAGGTGCTTTCCCTTCTTTAGCCTGGACAAAATCTGCATGTTTCTCTCCCCCCTACCCCAAAAGCTTCAGCAGTTATCTAATCAAATTCTGGCAAGTATTGAGTCAGGTCTCTATGTTTGTATTCAGTATCCACAGATCACCGATCTTATTCTGTGGATCAAAAACGTACAATATATTTTCCTTTGCAGCTGTGGTCAGAACATCTTGGTAATTTGTTCCCGTATCCGAGAAGAGTGGAACAGAGGATACGTGTGGAGAAGACACTACCGTTTTGGGGAATGAGTTCCTCATCTGTGAGTATAGTGAACACTAAGGCCGCACAACAGGAGGTGACAAATTCGGAGGCCTTCACGTTTCCCCTAAAACAGTGCTTTCTAGCCATAACACAAAATTCATTGGAAGATTCAAGAGGAAAAACTGGGCTGAAGTTCTTAATACTACCATTTAATAGCCTATCTGAAGAGGTCTCTGACCTGACCCTTGCTTCCGGATTCCATAGAGAGCAACAAGACTTAGATCTTTAGGTATTTTAGGAGTCTACAAACAAAGTATGTATGTCCAGTTGGTTAACCCACCAACACATTATGTGTATCTACTCTCTCAACTAGCTAAACAGTACTTCCTGATGAGCATGTCCCAGGACTTGTGCCATCTTTCCTCCAAGAGTTCAACATTAAACTATCACCTATTGGTTCTGTACCTACACACATCCTATTGGTCCATAAAGACAGAATTGTATCACATGCATTTATCTTTTCTTCCCAGTGAATGAACAAAAAATACCTGCTGGCTCAAAGATGAATGGCATCCCCGCTTGGAAAACCTTTGGATACTATGATACTGGGAAATGCCACATTCATAGTTCATAGTTGCCTCTGAACCCCCTTTTAAGTCCCCAAAGAAATAAGGACCCTGAATAGCAGACTACTGGACAATAAGCAAGAAGTAAAGATCATGCAGTGGACACCTCTATTTGGCTTCAGATGTATTAGCCAGCCTGTAGCCACTCTGTATTTCTAACTTTAATTGCATTACCTGAACACACATTTGCTGGCAGACATGGACGAGCAGTTTGGAAATAGCCAGTCTATCCCAGACCTCTTAGTTATGGATCAGGCAGCAGTGAACGCGTAATAGAGATACCCCAGGAGATGAAAGATCTGGGCTCTCGGCCAACATTCTTCACTTATTTGCCACATGACCTCAGGAAACTCCCTACATTGCACCAAGTTGCTTTCTCAAGAGTAAAACAGAGATAACTTAACCGTCCTGCATATATGACATGCTTACTATAATGTTCAAATAAGAAAGTGAAAATGTTTTATAGAATCGCTAATCAGCTTAGCCAAAAGTCTTCCGAAGAAAAGGCACGGACTATGAGGCTTAGGGACAAAGGCCCAGGGATAGCAAACAATTTCAAACAACGTTTCCAAGGCATGAATATTACAGTAAAAGCCACTAAAAAACGCTGATATTGTGAAATAACAGTCCTATAAATGAGGGTATATCACAAAGTTGACAAAGATTTCCAAAACAGATAAAATAGAAGAGTAGACATTAAGTAGTTTTAATGAATCCACTTCCTTTATTGCAGTAACCTCTGTACAAGCAGCAACTGCAATATTCCACATTAAAACGTTAGAAAAGCAGGTGTGTGACAGTTATAGTACAGTATTATCAAAATATTACATTTTCAAACTTAGTAGATCAACATCCACCAGAGCTCAAATCTTTAAATTATTTCCATAGTCTTTAAAAATATGTAACGTCAGAAAGCATATAAAAAGAATGTAAAAGGAAACCTAAAGTACAAATGAAATAATGTAACAAATAAATATTTGATTTAATTAACCCTTAATAATCAGCTTAACACCACCATTCTCTCTAAACCCGGTATTTACCTATAGAAATAATGAACTGTCCAATGCCATTGCATATTTATTTCCAAGTTATCACCAATGATTAGAACTAAAAAAAAAAAATGGCATTAAAATAATCAAATTCAGCATAAATAAAACAGAGTAAAATAGCTTCAACACTAGCTAGCATCTCTAAGAATTGTTGAAATTTATTAGAGTACTACAACAACCTTGAAAATTTTGACCTGGTGTCTAGTGTTAAGTGAAAGTAATGCATTTTTTTTTTTTTAAGTGAAAAGCTTCTTACATTATTTCACAGACAATAATACCCTCCCCCCATTATGCATATTTAGATATATTTTATGTACTTTATACACATATGTATGATGCATGACATTTGGTTCCTGCAGTACAGATCACAATGATGGTTTCCTGAATGGGAAAAATTCCAAAAAAAAAAAAAAAAAAAAAAAAAAAAAAAAAAAAAAAAAAAAAAGTAAGTGTACCTGTGCACATTTCAAGATAGCAGCACTCAATTCATGCCCTATTATCCATTTAAAAAGTTCAAACACGATATTGTTTACTGAATAATATGACACTTCTACTGTCTTTCCCCCAAAACACTACAAAACCTGCAATAAAATGGAACAATGCTGTGAGTTATAATGTAGGGAAAAAAATTTGGAAAAACAATTACTTCATTTTAACATTCTGAATTCAAAATTATCATCAGATCTCCACTTTTCTATTCATTTAGTTTATGCTCACGCAGCAAAAGACTGCACTATTGACAACAGTAGTAATTTTATAGATTTCTATCAAGATTCATGAAAACCTGCATACATTCTTCACCACAGAGACTTATGCCAATGAACTCACTGAACAGTACTGTAGCGGACGTGTTCTCCATTTTATAACTGAACAGTAACTGTGTGAAGTTACATGCCCTTCCAATGATCACCTTTGTTCTCCAGGAAACCTGTTACCTTTCAATCTCATTTTGAACTTATGTTTACCAAAACAAAAAAATTTTAATCTAATGAATCTTGGATCACTTTAAAATGCAAAAACACCAGCAACATAAACGTCATTATATACACATATGCATCTGTGTATGCATATACGTATGCATACACACATACATATATGCAGACATCTATCCCTTGAAATGTTTTTAGGAAATCCTTCCTTGAATAAAAAATGAAAAACTTCACATTGATAATTGTATATAAAGCTTTTAGTAACAGTGCGTACGCACTGTCAAAATTGTACTAGTAGACTATGATGTCAAAACAGACATTCCAAAAGCACAAACTGGCAGTTTTTCTTAACACAAAAGTTTTAAAGTATTAAGAATGGATTAAATTTAAATGTTCAGAATAATCTGTTCAAACCTGAGTGTATTAATTAAGACTAAGTATACTTGACAATTGAATGAATTAAGCCTAAAAACATTTCATTAAGAAACCAGTGGTCCGTTTAACCATTTGATGAAACATTAAATATTTTAATGATTTATAAATGATGGTACAGTGGGATTCCACATATTGTTTACTGAAATAGTCTATTTGATGACATTATTTTATCTAATTTTCCTCGAGGAAAGTCTTTTAGCATTTCTTAAAAGTCCCTCAAGATTTGAGGAAAACTATAAATTAGGACAGATCTCCCTTCTAATAGATACAAATGATTTTGAGGACTTTGGTCTGAAGAATGACAACAGGAGATTTTTCAGCATGGTATATAGAAGTACTGGATAAATCTTCAACCGTCCCTAAGATTTCAAATAAAAATACAAATAGCCAATTAGAGATTAAAAAAAAACAAAACAAAGAAAGGTTTATTGGGTCTTTTTTTCCTAGATCTACATTTTATATAAACCCACAGAAACCTAACCTTTGGGGTCACTTTTGGGTTATTTTTTTTTTTTTTTGCATTTTTCATTAACTTGCCCTAATTCTCATCTTTAGTATCTAACAGATACCTTTACAAAAGTAATAGAAAACATACAGTACTCAACGCTAATTGGTCAATGGAAGAAGAAAAGCAGTGTCCATTTCATTTCACGGTGGAAGAGACTAGAAATAAAAATAACAGCTGACAGCAAAATTTGACATTCTATAAATTTATAAAAGAGGATATATGGATGAAATTTGGTTAATTTCAGAAGGCACCTCAAGGCTAAAGGCTTTTTGTACTCCTCTCATCAATCAAAAAATAACACACTTTTATTGCTATTCAAGTAGCAAAGGAAAACTTTACTCTCATGAGCTTCAGTCCAGCAACAAGGAATCATCATCATTCATTCAGATTGAAATACAGACTTGACTAAAACTGAAGTCTCCATACACGGATCAATGGAGCAACTTCCCTGTGTGCTTTCAAATTAATGAAATAGTGAAAGAAAAGTCACAGTTCGCCATTGTGATGTTAATGTGTCATTGAAGATTTCAGTTACTCCACTGGGCACTAAAGTACCATCTGGAGGGCTGTCCACTGTGTCGGAACACTTAAGAATAGAAGGTAAGGACACTCTGATGATTCCCACGGACTAGGAGAATTGGCGGTAGGTCCTTTGATAGAGCTTCTAACCAGGCCATATAGAGAGCACTTGACACAGCACCTTTCCTAGCAACTGGGAGACTCCTGGTATCAAAAAGAGAAAGGAAATTAGGCAATGCATTTAAGTTGAAAATAGAAAATGTAATAAAAATTATATATGGAGTCCCTAGTAATAGTAACTAAAAATTACTTTGGTTAGTTACACATTGTTTTTGAGCATGGCAAATTCTGAACAAAGCGTGACAATGACTATACTCATAGATCACTATTCTCCCTTTCACATGTCTGAACAAAAGATTTTTAAAATTTATCCGTAAGAATAGAAATAAGTATTTCTATCAACTGTAGCACATTTTATATCTAACGCTAAACTTCACATTTTCCCTTCTTCATTAAGGACAGAATTCTTTTAGGAGAAAGGGCTGTTTCTATCTGAATTGTGAAAGCAGAAACTACACATGGATAAACAAAACTGAAACATAATTAATTCTATGTATTAATTTTCAACTTCTCTTATTTCTCTGGGCTTTCATTTATTTTCTTAGTGTTTATTTTTGAGAGAGAAAGTGCGAGTAGGGGAGGGACAGTGAGAGAAGGGGACAGAGGAGTTGAAGCAGGATCCTGACTGACAGCGGTGAGCCCAACACAGGGCCCGAACCCACGAACCATGAGATCATGACCTGAGCTGAAGTCACTCAATGGACTGAGCCAATCAATTGTCTGGTCTTTCATTCCTATTTGTAGACAGTGGTAGTAGTCACCAGTTGCCTTATCAACTGTTTCTCTCTAGACTTCTGTTTTAGCATATTCCATTACAGTATGTGATCATTAGCAGCAAAACTTGAAATCTTCTGGGTATTGTTTTTTGTTAATCAAAACAACATTTCTCTAGTATTATTTTATTTCATCATTTGGGATGTTTTTGGAGGACTGAGCTTTTTTTTTTTTTTTTT